CCTCGAGCGACTCAAGGGAGCAGAGTGTAGATCCAGGTTTTTGTCTCTTAACTCTCGGCCCTCGCCCAGATGTGGAAGCGCCTCGGGACGCCATGAGGCGTTCCAATTCAAGCTTCGCCTCGAAAAGATCAAAGGGAAATGCCTCCTCCTCGGCCTTGAGCGCGGCGCGGTTAATGTCCTTGTTAGGAACGGGATCTTGTGGACGGCTCGTCGAAACCGATGGCTCGCCATCCGGAGAGCCGATCTGATGGGTTTTCATGGTTCGACGCTTCGTAAGACGAGTGATTGGAGGGGCTCGGCGAAGCAGACGCCTCGGAGGATCCTGCCGTACCTCTCGCCTCGGCATCTACGCAGCTCGGCTCGTAGTGAAAAAGTGAATCCAACGAATCGTCGGAACAGCTCGACATAATTTACGACTTTTACAAGAGTTACAGCGCGACTCGGCGAGCCTTTACCGGAAAAAGATCTGGAACGGCGGAGACCTCGGAAGCCCTAGCCGGAAAATAAATAAACTAGAGAGAGAAAGAAGAGAGAAGGGATAGCTACCTTTAGTGAAAACGAGTGAGTCGGGAAATAATGAGGAAGAGTGAAGGAGCTCACCTATTTATAGAAAAACGAAACGCGTGAATTCCGCGTAAACCTCGGGAAGCCGTCCAACAGCGCATGGGATCCGCGGTGAATTGGCTATACCGGGCTGCGTCGTTGGCACGCGCCGAAGGATCAGGAATTTCCTCTCGAAAAACCAACAGTCAGGGTACCCAGGTTAACGAAACGGCTTGGTATTGACCCTTTCCCTCTTGAAACCCCTCGTCGTTAACGAAACGGCTCGGCATTGAATCTGTTCTCTCGAAACGCCTCGTCGTTAACGAAATGGCTCGGTATTAACTTTTTTTTCCTTGAATCGCCTCGTCGTTAACGAAACGGCTCGGCATTGAATATGTTCTCTCGAAACGCCTCGTCGTTAACAAAACGGCTCGGTATTGACTCTTTCTCTCTTGAATCGCCTCGTCGTTAACGAAACGGCTCGGCATTGAATCTGTTCTCTCGAAACGCCTTGTCGTTAACAAAACGGCTCGGCGTTGAATCTGTTTCTTGAAACGCCTCGTCGTTAACGAAACGGCTCGGCATTGACATTCTTTCTTGAGACGCCTTGCCGCTAACAAAACAGCTCGGCACGAGCTTTCTCTCGAAACGCTTCGCCATTTGTTCGGCTCGGCATAACCTCCTCAAATCACCTCGTCATGGGCTGTCACTATTAAAAAAAAAAAAAAAAAAAAAAAAAAAAATCACCTCGTCCTTAATCTTGCCTCGGCATCTTCGGTACCATCTCGAACACCTTGGCACTCCTTGGGAACGCCTCGGCGTCTTCATTCTCAAAACGCCTCGGCGTCTTCATCTCCAGAACGCCTCGGCGTCTTCATTCCCAAAACGCCTCGGCGCCTTCATCCCTAGAACGCCTCGGCGTCTTCATTCCCAAAACGCCTTGGGGTCTAACTCAGTGGTTTATCCTACGATCAGAAATAATGGACCTCGTCACTCTCGCCTCCGAAACTGACGAGCTGGGGGGCTAACTGTTGGGGTCGGTTTTCACCCCAAGTAGATAAACCACCTTAGAATGGCTAAGTATGGAAGAAAGATAAGTGGGAGAGCCGTGGTCGCCAAGTGGGAGAGCCGCGCTGGCCAAGTGGGAGAGCCGTTCTCACCATGACAAGTGGAGAGCCGTTCTCACCAAGACAAATGGGAGAGCCGTGCAGATAGGCCAGTGGGGAGAGCCGTGAAAGAAGACAGGTGGACCGAGCCGCATCGAAAGAAATGGGCCGAGCCCCACTTCAACACGTTTGGGCCGAGCCGTGTATCGGTGCGGTGGGCTAGATCATGTCTCCATGGCAAGTGGGCCGAGCCGTGAAGGAGGCTAGATGGGCCGAGCCGTAAAGAAGCATGGATGGGCCGAACCGAAGCCTTGAGAGGTGAAGCCCATGGAAAACCCTAGACGAGATGCAAAGGCGGTCAGCCGCACGAGACGATAAGGAAATATTCCGAAAATCTCGCCCGAGATTTTCGGCTAGGCGGTTCAGAGAGTTAGTATAAATAGACGATGTATACAATTCATTATGTAACTTGGGCAACCCTAAGCAACAAAGACTAAACACTTTACAGCAATAAAAATCCTCTTTTGATCTTACTGTTCTTGCGATCATCCTAGAAGTTTCAGATCCCTTAGTTTCTCTTCACAAATTCTTGGTTGTGCGAGTTTTGGCTCACACAAGATATATGTAATATTTTTAAAATCATGATTATGAGTTAAATTGTAAAGAATCTGTATGCTAATAACACTAGATTTCATTAGAATTACAGAACCAGTAAAATACAAAGTTTTTGAATAACAATGAATTTTAATTATATTATAAAAAAATTATCAAACCAATAATAATAAATTTTTAAATAATGTAATGTTATAATCTGTTTAGAAATCTATTAAAAATGTAAAAATCCACACACCAATAACCAATTAACCATATAATCTTAAATCTAAAATTCTTCATAAATCAACCTCCCAATAACCCTTCCCCTTAGATTTGTGACTGTAATTAATGGATATTTAGGTGGTTGTTTAGGTTTATAATTGATTTTTGTTTATATTCATACAAAAATATTGTATTTTGATATTTTAAAGTATACATTTTTTTGGAGAAAATTATAATATACATTTAAATTGATATTTAATTTTTTTGTTTTTATTTTATCGTTATATGAAATATAAAACAAGAAATAAATTGTTGATTGTAGAATTATAAGGGAGAATTCGGTGATAATGGTAATATTTCTTTGATTTATTTTTCAAGTTTGGATTACAAGTGTTCTAGTTGGGAGGTCTTTCGACGAACTAATAATTATAAGTGTGGGCTAATTAATCTCTCCTATTTCTCGGGAAAGAGTCGAGATCTCTTGAACAGTAATGAATTCCCCTATTTATAGTACATTAATGACTGTGTACCCTAAGGTTTTCATAATAATCCCACTGACTTTCGTTACTTGGGGCGGATTTTTTGGTGGGCCGTCTTATCAGGCCGAATCTATTTTGGTACAAATCATTATAAACTGAATTCAATTGGGCTGATCTCAATTTATACCGGACTAAACAGGGTTACGAAGCATATCACCAACAATTTGCCCCCCCCTTTCAGCAAAATGAGTTCGGCTGAGTTTGATGAATTACTTCTTTGGTTCGGTTGAAATCGAGTTCGGCCAAATTTAGCAGTCGCGTCAATCACTCTTCCTGGCGTACTCGGAGGGTCTTTTGGGACTTTCTTCAATTCAGAAGTTGAAGAGTTGCGTTGGTTTTGGCGGGAATTTTTGTATTTCAGACTGACAAGGGGCGCGAATACCGAAAACTCATCATGATTGCATTACTTCTATAATTAGGGAGCAGCTCTCCCCATTTTCTCATTCCAGCTCTCGTTGCTACAGGTATTCGCTCTCCTTTCTCTCTAGAATTTTCTTTCTCTCTCTAGGTTTTCCGATCACCGTCTGCCGCGTTTCCTTGTTGGCGGTAAAATCTCCGACTTCACTCCAGCCATGTCTTCTGAATCGTCTTCCAACACGGGTAATGATGAGGACATGCAACCTGAACCGGATCTAACCGAGCCTCAACTCCAAGATATCGAAGTTCCAACAATGCATGAAGGACCAATAACAAGGGCAAGAGCTAGAATACTTCAACACAAGTATAATCAAAGCCTACAAGCCGCAGCTAAAGAGATACCAAGAGAAGATCAAGAGCAATGCCAAGAAGAGACGGTTAACAAGGGCCATTGTCTACAAGCTTGGTCCGAGACATTTCAAGAGTTCTCATCAACCCTCAACAGCCCAAAGAACCAGGACGTCTGGCCTCTTTTACCAAGCCAAGCCCAAGTTCAAGTGCTTAGCATCTCAAGAATGAATCAAGACACTTAAAGAGGGATGTTCAAGTTCGGTCAAAGACAAGACACGCTAATCATGGTCACAAATAAGGTAAGTCTTTCATTTCATTTGACTAACGAATTTCCTTGTCTTTGTTGTGTTGCAGCCGAGAGAATATAGCCTAGACTTTAGCTTAGTAGTTTGATTTTTCCTTTATAGTTTTCCTTGTTTATTTTCCTTTGATGTTGCACCTTTCCTTTTCAAGTCCTGTCGGATTGAGTCTTTTTTTTTTCTCTTGAGTCTAATCCACTTGGACATTATATAAGTCCCTTTACGGCCGTGTAACTTTTGAACTTTGATCATCAATAAAAATCGAACTTTTCTTTCAAACTTTTCTCAGCAAAGAAAACTTGTTAAGCCTCTTTGTTCTAGTCGAGACCAGTCCCTCCTAGACCAAAGATTTCTTGTGTTTTATCATAAGCCTTTCACAGCTTGTGTGGTGCACCTCATTCCCTTGTTACTTAACCGATCCTCCAGATGATTCCCTGGTTAGAGAAGCTCGACCATTGAATCAACCCTTGGCCGTTAAACCAAGCTTTGTGTTCCGAGATCATACAAGCCTTGAGACAGCCCTGAGCTTGTATCATTTTTGGTATCAGAGCTGAAGTTCCTTTCAGCCCAGGTTTTATCTCTCCGATTCTGTCTATTTCAATTTTGTTCTTCCTTGTTTTGTTTTAATTCATTGCATCATGATAAAAAAAAAAGGGTCATATAGTCTGTCATTGTCTTTCAAAAATCCCAAAAGAAAACATAAGATCATAGCATTGCATCTAGTTTAACTTCATATTCATCATTGTATCTCATCTTCACAAACCTTTACGCTCGCTCATCCTTGTCTTCTTCATTAGATCATTTAAAGAAAAGTAAAAAAAAAAGGGAAATCCTCATTAGTCCCGTAATTGCATACTTTCCATTTTGCATACTTTCAATTAGTTTGACTGGAAAATTTACTTAAAGAAGACCGAGCAATTTTCCTTATTTGCTTTTGTCCCGACTAATCTCCTCTGTTTCATTTTTGCGAGAAAACTCAATCAACAACCATGGGAGAAGAGAGTAGTAATGCTCAAGATGCTCTTCACCAGCTGATAGCATCCATGAGAGATGAGATCAAAGCCCTAAGACAAGACTTTGGCGACCGACTCCGCCATGTGGAACAAGCAAGAGTGACCTTGCAACCCACTCGCAACCTTGGAGGGTTGAACACCGGCTTTACCACTAATCAGCACACCCGAAACAACTTGAGACCTACTGGAGTTCGCATCAACGAAGCTAATCACACGCAACCCACCGATGACGATTCTTCTCAAGATGATGAACCAGCCCAACGGCGACCTAGACACAGGAGGCGTGTGCCGCAAGACGACTATGGAGAACAAGATAAAGATGAGTTCTACTCATCTAAAAGACAAAACCAGCATCATGTCAAGCTGACCGCACCAAGCTTCGCCGGAAAAGTTGATCCCGAAGCCTACCTTGATTGGGAGAAGAGGATGGATCACATCTTTGATTACTATAACCATCCCGGTCCAAAGAGGGTAGCATTGGCGGTAGCATAACTCACAGACAATGCCCTTATCTAGTGGGACAGGGTGATATCAGACCGCAAAAGAAATCGCCTTAGAGCCATCGACTCATGGATCGACATGAAAGATATGTTAAGACAAAGGTATGTCCCTCCTCACTTTCATAGAGACTTACAACGACGTTTCCGTGGTCTTAAGCAGGGAACTAGATCTGTGGAGGAATATTATGAGGAGTTTGAACGGCTGAGAAACCGTTTGGAGCTCAATGATGACGAAGAAGCTCTTATGGCCCAGTTCGTAGACGGTCTACAAGAAAGACTTAGCCGAAAAGTGGAGAGACAAGTCTATCAAGATTTCAAGGATCTTTTCCATTTAGCTGTTCAAGCTGAGCAACACATCAAAAAGAAGACCATGAGTGCCAGAAACCTACCTCAAACCACATGGACGTCAAACACAAACAAGCCAATAGACAAAGGCAAAGGCATAGAAGTTGACTCTCGGTTCAAAGGCAAAGCTGTTGAGACTAGCAAAGACACTAGACCAGAGCTCGGTAAGACGTCTAACCCTCAGAGATCTAGAGATATCACTTGTTTTAAATGCAGGGGAAGAGGACACATATCAAGAGAATGCCCGAACCAGCGAGTGATGCTTGTGACCGAATCCGGAGACTATGAATCTCAAGACGAGGCACAGACTGAGCCTCTAGAAGAGTATGGTGACATTGAATACCCTGATACTGGTGAGCTCCTTGTCACAAGGCGTACATTAAGTGCAATGGTGGAACCCTCCGAAACTATTCAGCGTGAGAACATTTTTCATACCCGTTGCACCATCAAAGGCAAGGTATGTAATCTCCTCATTGATGGTGGGTCTTGCACCAATGTTGCTAGTGCTCACATGGTCGACAAGTTAGGCCTTGAGAGAACTAAACACCCTCGGCCTTATAAGCTAAGGTGGCTCGATGACAAGGTAGAACTTAAGATCAGTGATCAAGTGTCTATACCTTTTAGTATTGGTCGATATCAGGATCAAGTAATTTGTGATGTTGTTCCCATGCAAGCTGGACATTTATTATTAGGTAGACCATCGCAATTTGATAGAGAAACTAAGCATGATGGTAGAACTAATATGTATACTTTTATGCATAACAAGAGAAAAGTTAGCTTAGCACCTCTCACGCCATCACAAGTGCATGACTTGCAAATGCAAATACTCAAAGAAAAAGAAAATCATTCTAAGTCCAATTTTCTTGTTCAACATAGTCATGTAAGAAGAGCTATTGCCTCCAAACACACAATGCTACTAATGATCTTTAAGGAGCTTTTGAGCGCAGGTTTTGGAGAACTCTATCTACCACCCGAAATTGTTATTTTGCTTGACAGGTTTAAGGACGTGTTCCCTGATGAGATGCCTGAAGGACTGCCACCAATAAGAGGCATAGAACACCAAATTGATTTCATACCAGGAGCCGCATTACCAAATAAGCCGGCTTACCGTATGAGCCCAGAAGAGTCTAAAGAATTGGAGAAACAAGTCAAAGAGCTATTAGGCAAGGGCTATGTAAGGGAGAGCCTCAGCCCGTGTGCTGTACCAGTTCTGTTGGTGCCAAAGAAGGACGGGTCTTGGCGCATGTGTGTCGGCTGTCGAGCCATCAACAACATTACCATCAAATATAGACACCCGATCCCAAGACTAGACGACATGCTTGATGAGCTTAGTGGAGCTACCCTATTTTCCAAAATTGATCTCAGGAGTGGGTATCATCAGGTGCGAATGAAAGAAGGAGATGAGTGGAAAACTGCCTTCAAGACCAAGCAAGGTCTTTATGAATGGATGGTGATGCCATTCGGACTCACCAATGCACCAAGTACCTTTATGCGACTAATGAACCAAGTTCTTAGAGCATACATCAGTAAGTTTGTTGTGGTTTACTTTGATGATATTTTAGTATACAGCAAATGTTTATCTGATCATGTGTCACATCTTGAGCTTGTATTCAAGACTCTTAGACAAGAGGGCCTTTATGCAAACTTAAAGAAGTGCACATTCTGCACTGATAAGCTGGTTTTTCTAGGTTTTGTTTTGAGCTCACAGGGTTTACAGGTCGATGAAGAGAAGGTTAAGGCAATCAAGGAATGGCCGACTCCAACAAACATAAGCCAAGTGAGGAGCTTTCACGGCTTGGCCAGTTTTTATCGACGCTTTGTCAGGGACTTTAGCAGTATAGCCGCACCTCTCACAGCTGTGGTCAAGAAGAGTGTGGGATTCACTTGGGGAAGAGAGCAACAAGCAACATTTGACACACTCAAGGAGAAGCTCACTGAGGCACCGGTTCTAGTCTTACCTGATTTCAACAAGACCTTTGAAGTGGAGTGTGATGCATCAGGGATCGGTGTAGGAGCTGTCTTAACCCAAGGAGGCAAACCTGTAGCCTTTTTCAGTGAAAAGCTAGGAGGATCAACGCTTACTACCCTACCTATGACAAAGAGTTGTATGCCTTGGTGCGAGCTTTAGAGACTTGGCAACACTATCTCATGTCAAGGGAGTTTGTAGTGCACACAGACCATGAGACCCTCAAGCATCTTAGGGGACAGACACACCTAAAGAGGAGACACGCGAGGTGGATGGAGTTCATTGAGACTTTCCCCTACATCATCAAATACAAGAAGGGAAAAGACAACATTGTAGCCGATGCCTTATCAAGAAGACATGCGCTTATTGCCATGATGGAAGCCAAAGTTATGGGGTTTGAGTTCATAAAAGACCTCTACAAAGAAGATCCCGAGTTTGGAGACAGCTTCAAGGAGTGTAATAATGGAGCCCATGGAAAATTTTATATCTTCGAAGGCTTTATGTTCAGAGATAAAAGGCTTTGCATACCGCAATGCTCACTTAGAGACCTGATCGTCCGAGAAGCACATGGAGGAGGTCTTATGGGTCACTTTGGGGTAGATAAGACACTAGCTGTGGTGAGAGAACACTTCTACTGGCCGCACCTCAAGAAAACCGTAGAAGCTCATTGTGCAAGATGTGTGGTGTGCAAGAAAGCTAAGTCAACAGTCCATCCCCACGGCCTGTACATACCCCTACCTATTCCGACAGCACCTTGGGTCGATTTATCAATGGATTTTGTGCTTGGGCTTCCAAAGATCAACCACAAGGACTCAATTTTTGTAGTGGTGGACAGATTTTCCAAGATGGCACATTTTATACCTTGTGCTAAGGTGAATGATGCAACCAAGACGGCTGATCTATTCTTTAAAGAGGTGGTACGTCTACATGGAGTGCCAAGGACTATAGTATCAGACCGAGACAGCAAATTTCTAAGCCATTTCTGGAGAACCTTGTGGAAGAAGCTAGGGACAAAGCTCTTATTCTCAACGACATGCCACCCTCAAACTGATGGGCAAACCGAGGTGGTAAATAGAACTCTATCTGCCCTACTCCGAGTTACCATTGGAAAGAATCTGAAGAATTGGCTGGAATGTATTCCTTTTGTCGAGTTCGCTTACAATAGAGCTCAGCACTCGGCAACAAAGATGTCCCCATTTGAAATAGTCTATGGCTTCAACCCTACTACACCATTGGAGCTCACACCATTGCCCCCAGCTGAAGCCGTGAGCCTAGAAGGGGAACAGAAAGCTGAATTTGTCAAGAAGCTACACCTAAAGGCCAAAGAGAACTTAGAGAAAAGAACCGAGCAATATGAGAGGCATGCGAACAAAGGCCGCAAGGAGATGGTATTTGAACCTGGAGAATGGGTTTGGCTACACATGTGGTATGAAAGATTTCCAAATCAAAGGAGTTCTAAGCTTGCACCGAGAGGAGATGGCCCCTTCAAGATCCTAGAGAAGATCAACAACAATGCCTACAAGCTTGAGTTACCAGGTGAGTTCAATGTGTCTTCTACTTTCAATGTATCTGATTTATCTCCTTATCTTGCAGATGAACCAGTTTTGAGGTCAAAACCTCATCAAGGGGGAGGGAATGATGAGGACATGCAACCTGAACCGGATCTAACCGAGCCTCAACTCCAAGATATTGAAGTTCCAACAACGCATGAAGGACCAATAACAAGGGCAAGAGCTAGAATACTTCAACACAAGTATAATAAAAGCCTACAAGCCGCAGCTAAAGAGATACCAAGAGAAGATCAAGAGCAATGCCAAGAAGAGACGGTTAACAAGGGCCATTGTCTACAAGTTTGGGCTGATACATTTCAAGAGTTCTCATCAACCCACAACAGCCCAGAGAACCAGGACGTCTGGCCTCTTTTACCAAGCCAAGCCCAAGTTCAAGTGCTTAGCATCTCAAGAATGAATCAAGACGCTTAAATAGGGATGTTCAAGTTCGGTCAAAGACAAGACACGTTAATCATGGTCACAAATAAGGTAAGTCTTTCATTTCATTTAACTAACGAATTTCCTTGTCTTTGTTGTGTTGCAGCCAAGAGAATATAGTCAGACTTTAGCTTAGTAGTTTGAATTTTCCTTTATAGTTTTCCTTGTTTATTTTCCTTTGATGTTGCACCTTTCCTTTTCAAGTCCTGTCGCATTGAGTCTTTTTTTTCTCTTGAGTCTAAGCCGCTTGGACATTATATAAGTCCCTTTACGACCGTGTAACTTTTGAACTTTGATCATCAATAAAAATCGAACTTTTCTTTCAAGCTTTTCTCAGCAAAGAAAACTTGTTAAGCCTCTTTGTTCTAGTCGAGACCAGTCCCTCCTAGACCAAAGATTTCTTGTGTTTTATCATAAGCCTTTCACAGCTTATGTGGTGCACCTCATTCCCTTGTTACTTAACCGATCCTCGAGACGATTCCCTGGTTGGAGAAGCTCGACCATTGAATCAACCCTTGGCCGTTAAACCAAGCTTTGTGTTCCGAGATCATACAAGCCTTAAGACAGCCCTGAGCTTGTATCAGGTAACGTCATCCTTCCTGAGGATCGTTGGTCGTTGAGCCTGGCAGAATCTTTGAGTTCGGGTACCACAAAGAGTTCTTCGAACGCTTCTCTTGTTTGGAAGAATTCTCGTGTTCAGGAGTTCGGGCCAAGTAACCAGAGGTCTCCGATCCGGGCTCCCGAATTGATGGATCATGACAATCGGGAGTCCGGCGAACAGTCACCAGTTGATGAGGCAGTTGGGTTAGAAGAAGACATAAAGCCCAAAGATGCGACGTTGGATGAGGTCGGTGACAATGAAGATGCTGATCCCGATGATAACAATTTTATGCCGATTATCGATCTGGAACCGACGTGGTCCACTCTAGACACAGTTCGGGGTGCAATGTTGCCATGTTTGAGGAACTTTTCATCCTGAAGGTCGCCCAAGGTAAGTACTGGCTTCTATCGGCCTATGCCAATCCGGGTTTTGACCTGATGACGGGTTAGAAAGCGAGTTAGTTCTTGAATTGGGAGCAGAGCAACTTTTTCTTGCGTGTCGATTCTCACTCCGCTGTAAATCTGGCGAGCACATTTCAACCTGGCTGCAACGTGGCATTTGGTAGATATTACGCCGGTCAGACTTATAGAGTTCGTTCTCATGGTTGCTGATTCTTTTACCTTTTTTCTTTGCAGATCGTCACATCCCCGGATTCATACATAGGTCACTCAAAGAGGAAGTCTCTAAGCAGCTCAGTGAGGCCGGAAAACGTTGTTGTTCATTCGCTAACCAAGACCGGTTAGCTCGTAAAGAGAAAAAGGCAAAAAACAAGAGTAAATACCTCCAAAATAGTGTTTGCCGACCTTTACTTCATGACTTGTTTTTCCCTTACCGTCCGTTTCTGCAGAGTCCAAAGAGCAGGTTAATCCCAGCCAACTAAAGAAATCTCGACGAAGACGGAAGATGAACTTTGACAAATCTTACATCCCGACATTTGACTTTGATGGAGCAACTCCCCCATCGACATAGTTGGGATCGGAGAAAGGAATGCTGTGAACCCGATGATGTGACTGTTGAACGGCTTCTTGAATTGGTCAACCCTGACTTGCGCTGAGACGACGGATCCTGTTGCGATCGAGACTGGGATTCCTGGAAATCTACCTCCGGAAACCCTCCTTGAGAAAGGGGAGCTCGTAGATTTCCGGGCTGACGAGGTGGAACAGACCATCGCCAAGAGGGCTAGGAAAAAGAAGAAGAAGTCCTCGAAATCTGGAATCTAAGAGAGAGTCCGAGGGGCAGGCCAACCAGGTAGGTGATGGGGCATTGGTTCTTCATAGAGGTGATCTGAATGATCCTGTTGCGGATCCGCAGGCTTAGGTCGGTGATCTATCTGTGGAAGCGTCTCAGTCAAAAAACCCAGATCTTCCAAAAGACGAACGATCTCGGATATTTCTTCCTTTTCTGTCAAGCTCAATTACAACGAGGACAAGCCAATCCTTGACGATTCGGCCGCCTATGCCAAGCTGTTCAGGAAGATTATCCCAGTCAAGGCCCCGATACGGAGAGGAAGGATCTTTTCTGACCTAAGGTGTACGCCCGGGTCGCTCAGTCTGCCTCAACTATAAGTCCCAACTTTTTTGAATTTGTTTGTTGCTTTCTTACTTTGTATATCCGAATCTAACATTTGTCCTTATGAATTCCAGCTCATGAGTGATACCAACGAGCTTAATCGAGATTATGACATGGAGATTTCTTGGCTGAGGAAGATAAATATTGAAGTGAGCGCAGAGAGAGGCTCATTGGTGGTCTCGTACCGAATGGAAAAGGACAGGTACGATGCGGTTATGCTGGTCTTCGCTGAGAAAGAGAAAGAGAATGCTTCCCTCCAGGAGCGGGTCATGGCTCAAAAAATAGGTAGCCGAGCTGGATTCTGAATGGGACCTGCTATCCAAGGCATTCAAGGCAGAGAAGCCTGAGAAGCGGAGGTACCGAGACTTGGAGTCCAAAGGTCGGGCGGCCCTGCTCTCGTTGAGGACCAAGTGTGAGGCCAAGCTGGCTCTGGTGAAGGACTTTCTAGACAAGTCTGAGCTGATGAAGACACCATTCCTCAAACTCAACCAAGCCATAGGCATCGTCGGCTTCTGCGATTTCTTGAGGAGGCAGCACAACTTGATTGTGACCGGCCATATTGTGGATATGTACGAGAGGAAGGTGAAAAACCTTGGGCGTGAGGTTGATGCAATATCTCTCTCGGTCCTTGGTGATAATGCTTTTACCATTCCTTCAGCTGCGGAAAACCATCCTGCGATCGACCGAGCTGCTCGCTTGGTGGAATTTTGAGCTGATATCGCGCAACTGAGCTTGCATCCTCTCGAGCTCCAGGTCGCGCACAGTTGCCGGGATGGGTAGCTGCAATGGCGAGTTTCCGAACTGGTGGACCACAGACCGTGCTGCCGTAGACTGATTTCCTTTGCCTTGGAAGTCGGTGATTAGGTTTCGTCTTCTGAGAGGGCTTTCTTGTTGCAAGCTCATGATCTGTTCGGTGAGAGTTGCGAACTTGACATCGTTGCTTCTAACTAATTCCCGCATCTGAACGGCAAAGGCGTTCATGAGTGCAGTTGGATCGAAGGAAG